CCATCTCGACGTCGTATCGGTCTTTCGTGTATTTAATATTTTTTTTCCCCACAAGCTCGGATTTTGTTTAATCTCCGAAACGTGATTCTCAATCCACTCGGAACGCGCGTCCCCGTCTGCAATTAATCCTAATTAAAAAAAGAAACAACTATGGTCGTGGTTTTCTGACGACGTACCAACAGTACCCGGTCACGGCTAAGAGAAACGTTGTTATTTATTTAGTGCTTCCGTTGTTTTATTTTTTTTAGAGAAACGCGGTAAACAAACGCACAAAAAAGCTAAACATGAAAGGAGCCCAGCGTGGAGGTGCAACGGCTCACAGTATACTACCGCATCTGCCACCGTGCTCCGGTAAAAAGGAAGAGAGGCCTCGAATAAAAAGCTCCTTTAATTCGAAGCATCCGAGCTCGTGCACTGGAGTAAGCAACAAACGATTCTCTCTTTCTCTCTCTACCTTTCTCTAGCGTGTTTGATTACCCAGAGTGGAGAACAAATTACTTTTTTTTTATTTTCTTTATTCTAACCTCGCTCATTTCGGATTTAAAGCCTTCCCTCGCTCAGCGCGTGCCAGCGAGGTTTGTCTGCCTAACAGATTCCCGGTAAAGACAATCTCGTGGGGTGTTATAAAAGGGAAACCACAACTTCCTTTTGTTTTGTTTGTTGACTTCTTTGTTGTTTGTTAGAGTACAGCTCCATTGTTCGAAGAGAAGAGGGAACAAAAACGATGGAAAAAAAAAAAAGACAAAAGAACCGAGGATGAATATTACGAATGGGGTCGAGTTCAGGTCGTTTATCTAGCTGAACCTGCGACGCTATGCGCGCGCGCCAGGGCAGGTTAGATGAGGCTGGAAGGTCTAGGCGCGTTCGTGTTTGTTTTCGTGTTGTTTATTTGTTTGTTTGATGGTGCGCAAAGAGTGCGTATGTGGGATGCTGCGTGTGGTTTGGATGACAGGTAAATGAAAGATGCATAACGGCCCAGCGTGGCATCTTGGCGTGGAATCGCAGCTTTTTTACGCTCGGTGAAAAGGGGAGGGAGGCAAACGCAGAAATGAAGAAGAATCGGAATCTAGTGGGGTTTTGTGTAGCAATAAACTTTGAAAGTATTATTTTATTTCTTGTTTGTTTGTTTCTGGCGATTATCAAGGAGCAGAAGGGGAGCGCTGCGTCTTAAGACTTTTGTCCGCTTCGCGTCTGCCTCGTACTGGGTTCTTATTTGTCATCATTTTTAAACAAAACTTTAACGACCGAACTGAAAAAAAAAAATGAAGATATTAAACTTGAATAAGCAGATCTAGCTTGACTTCATTACTGATATATCGTATCTACAGGTCTGGGTAGCAATGTTTCTTTTTTTTTTTTTTTCTTTTTTATCGTGCATGCTTATTTTAGAGTGTCTCTATACTTTTTAATCACCCGAAAGCGCGAACATACGGTATTCCAGCTCCATAAACTCACAAATGTATTTTCTGAACGAAGAACAAGATTGACGCGTTTGAAGCATATTCCCATGTATTATCTGCAAGATAGCTTTAAACGTGTTTGCCTCTGTCAACGAGAAATCTATCAACTGCTCTACGGACAGCTAGCTTGGGGTCTTTAACGTTTATCAAGCTTTAGTGATAGACGAACTCAATCAGTCGGTACAAGTGGCGGTCTATTCACGCCTGTGATCCGGCGGAAGAAAACTCGAGCTAACGTGGATGACTTTCTCAAACCTTCCCATCGGTGCGCGACGAGTATCTCCGAACTGCCTCGTCATCCAACGCTACCACAGGTGCGCGGTCGACTTTCTCGAACTCTGACCACTGTGCAATCGTCCGACCGTCGTCATACACAAACGTACAATCGTAGTGAAGCTTTCTCCCACCCAAACGCCGAAAAGGTTTGGAATAGGGTTATCAGAGCTATCCGGTCAAGGAGAATGTCGTCCAGACGATGAGGTCAGGCGGATGTCTGCTGGACAGTGCGTGAGATCGCCCTATAGGTCGCTGCGTGGAAGAGTGATGGCGCACAGAAACAAGGGTAGCACTAAGCACACTCCATGGGGATTGGCTGCCTTCTGAGGACATGCACGTCTTCAGATTTTCCCTAGGTCCCCTGATCAGTAGGCATGCATGACTACAAACTTTCCCTAGGTCCCCGGGTAGGGACCCCCATGGGGGTTCCTACCAGGAAACCTAGGGAAAATCTGTAGTCCTAAGACGAGCTGACTAACGATACGAGCCGATTCTCGGCTCTCATCCACCTGAATCGTGCGTGATATGCAAACAAACGCGAGTCGTACTAGACACTCTCCCGCCCCCTGACGTTCCTGCCCCAGGCCCGGTCGGGCGCCCGACTATGCCACAGCCGAGTTCAACCAGCCTCGGAAGCCCCTCGGTCAAGACAGCCTCAATACGATACCCACCTAGACCGCACGAAAAGGGTATATTTCTGTGTTTTGCAGCGTGAGCTTTTGGTCCGCGTGCTTCGAGCTGTGATGCTGTTCGTCAACAATCGGCCTAGGTGATTCAGCAAAGCTATAGTGCACATACCACTGTCGCTGACGGGAGTAGAAAGGCAGGAAGGCCCTAAAGCTGACGTGCCAAAAACTTTTTTTGTTGTTGTTATGAATAGCTTTGAACGATGCCTTATCGAGACAGCGTCCACTCTTAAACGCTTTTCGCTCCTTTGAAACGTTTCTGCTTTCGGTCTCGTTTTCCTCATCTTGTCGGAAAGATCAGAGATTTTGCGACTCGCTGCTTTAACTTCAGGGCCACCACATTTGTTTTTTCTCTCTCTCCTTCTTTCTCTCTCTCTCGCTTTCTCCTTCTTTCTATATACATACACATATATACGCTCGTGCTTTGCATAGTCGACCCTGTCCAGCAGCGATAACTTTGTCATCAAGCGTAGCGCTCAAGAAACGCACTGTCTAACCGGCCGGCTAAAGGGCGGCAAGGCTAGAAGAGCGCGCAACGCTAGAGCTGCTGATATCTTCTCAGGTGTAGGCCAGGCGGCTCTCAGCGCGAGCTCGTGCCCGATTACCGTGCCCGATTAACGGGTAAGGCACGCCACACTTCTTCACATCGCGCGGTAGCCATCAGGCCGACATCGGATCCCGCACGCGAGTCACGTACCTGACAGAAGAAAAAAAAGCGCGGCCAGCGGCTCCCATGCAAATAATAATGCGTAAGGCCAAATTAAGTCGATAAAGGTGAAACGCGGGGGGAACGCCTCACAGTAAAGAAACGTGATCGAGGTCTTTCTCCTTGAGCGTTAAGAAAAAGAGAGAAGGAATTTTCGCGGGTGACCGTGGCTGGGGAATTCGTCGTTTCCTGGACACGGCGCGGAAACCGATGAAGCACTAATTCGGTCGGGGCGACTCTCAGTCGTTAATTAAACGAAAAAAAAAAAAAAAACTCACAGGGTTTTTTATGTTATCTCTAAGACGACTTGGAAGGTGAAAGCCCAAGCGCATATGCATCAAAGACAGACACATGATTTACTCTCCTAGTCATCCATCTTAATGTGCTGAGTCATCCTTCTTAGTGTTCCGAGTCATCCTTCTCAATGTGCTGAGTCATCACCTTAATTCGTTCAGTCATCGACTGAGTGGTCATGTAAACGTTTTGGTACCTTTCGCGCCGCCGACATGTTTTCGATCATAGACTTTCAAGGTCGCCTGAACCATGAGATATAGATAAGGCTTTCGCCTTAAAAACCCAAGGACTTTGGGCATGCACATACTTTGGCGACCATGCTCAGTTTTCCTTTTAATTACAACCGCTAGCGGCGCTACTGGAGTTCCTAGATAAAGAGCTTTCTACAAGGGAAGACATTGTTTGAAGCGCCAGACTGCGTGACGGTGCAAGTTTTAGGAAGCGAGTGGCGGCGGACAGCGGAGGGCTGAGCTGAACGACGCCATCTTGTTCCAGCGGGATGTGCTTCGTCATTTGTATCGGTTGTCGTTACTCGTAAAAAGAAGTATCGAGGGAATTTTAGGCGCTACGACCCGATGCAGCCAATCAAGCAGAGCCAAAAGTGCATCGTCAAGGCGCACGTCCTCTTTGCCCGTTTCCCGTCACCAGGTGGAGCCGATCGCGCCCAGGAAGAAGTGCACGATGGTGGCGCGTTATTGATGTCACTCGGCGGTAGAAAACACACAAAAGACGACGAGCGCCATGGCGATGCCTTTCGAGCTTCTTAATGGACCTTCGAGGTTAACATCTACAATTCTGCAGCCTCATTGGACGAGGAGGAGCGATCGTCTCGGGACGCGTCACAACCCTGCGACTCTATAAAACTGTCAGAGAAATCACTCAGCGGAAGAGACGGTGATGATTGTCAGAGCGCCGCTATTCCGACCGCGGTTCGGCATGAAAGCCGGCATCGTGCAAGTGACAGTCCTCAACAATCAGTCACTGCGATATCCGTGGTTCGAATGCCGCGTGCCAAGTCCCTGCTTGAACTCATTGCCATGATGCATTCAAAGCACGGATCTCGCGGTGACCCGCGATCGAATCTGTATGCAGAATGTCTTTTGTATGATGTATAAGCACTGTGACTCTGGCTTGAAGCAAATAAACACTTTTGTTTTTCGTTGTGAAAGAGAGTTTCACGCAGACGAAACACTCTGCTTCGTAGAAACGCAGTCTCGCAGAGAGCTGTGTGTTCATTCCGACTAGGCCATTGCCCCGCGTAACTTTTTTAGCTCTAAGAAATATATAGAAGCTTAAAGCTTTAGGAGAAAGGCGTAGTTGAAACAGTCAGGTACATACTGATCATGTCAGTCTTTGTAGCTTACCCTCAAATTCAGCATACAGCATCCAGGCAGCAAAAAGCATGTGGCATGCATATTATAATGAAACGGCTGCTGCAACGGCACCTTGAAGCAGTTAGCTCCCAATCGTCTTGGCAGTATAGCTACGTCACCAGTAAGCGAGCGTGCGTCTCCTCCTTCCATCGTAGGTCAAAAGACCGCCAGCGGGAGAGGGTTCACAAACAGCACCGGTACTCACCGGTGTAGGTAGTGTTGACGCCAATCTCCACCGTGGGCCTCTTGACAGGAGACGTGGTCGGCGGAGACTTGAGCGCCCCGGCGGCGACCACCGGAGGAGGGACAGGGTGCGGCACACCGATGCCCCCGTTGTCGTGGACTAGGAGACCCCGGGAACCATACTTGTGGACGTGCGGCTCCAGCGAGACCCTGGCCTTGAGCCGGTCCGCCAGGTCGAGGCTGTGGTTGACGGCGTTGGACAGCCGGTTCGGGACGGGGTGCGGCCTCTTGACGGGCAGACCTCCCGGAGGCCCCGGTCTTCGAGGTCCGACCCCGGACGCCGCGAGAGGCACGTCCCCCCGGTGGTCGCTGTCGTAGTCGTCCGGTCCGCCATCGTCGCCGTCGTACAGGAGGCAGTTCTCCTTGTTGCACGAGTGGACCTTGTGCTGGATGAACTTGACGATGTCCGAGAGGGCGAACTCTCGTTGGCAGACGCCGCAGGTGAGCAAGTCTTGTTGTAGCAGGTGCTCTGGTTCCACTGCGGACAAGAAGAAGAGGAAACGGTACGGTGTAAAGACTTGCACAGTAACTAAGTCGAAAACATAACTGCAAGACAAACGGTGTAAAGACTTGGTACTATAGTTCTAAACAAGCTCACATTGCCGATTGATCGACGGAAGAGTACTGATACCATAGTTTAAGTCAGCTTCATATAACTGCATATGAGGTTACACTGCGTTACACTGCTAGCTCGAACACCACGCCAGAGATTTCTGCCTTTTACATGGGAGGAATATTGACGAGCGTCAAGATTGACCGTTAGCTTAGTTCCCACTAATGCGCGCTCTCCATTGCACTTGCAGCTTTGATGAAAACCCCAAAATAGTAAGAATAAAACGAAAAACGTAAACCGGCTGTCACTGTCCTGTATTGACAGGTGTCGTTTTCTGTACGCCTATATCTTGGTATTTGTCTCACATTTTATTATACAGTTCATGTTCGCGCAATGATTGTCCGCCCAATGAGTGTTTTCATACACACATATTAATGCCACCACAAAGTTCAAACCTCAGCTTTAAAAATGGTGGCATTTTACCAGCATTGTTTGGAGTAGTTGTTGAGCGCGGCAGTGTATTATTTTCCAGATAACTTTTACAATGAATCTACCATGTCACACAAGAAGAGTGCGATTTGGCCAGGTGTATAGTCACTGCACCCAAAACAACTATCTACATGCATACACTTCTATTAGGTGGAAGACATACTCAGCCGAATCTCACTTGCGTTTGTCAACAATTGTGTCAATCATTGTCCCTCCAACTTTTTTCGCGTCAACTGAATTCAAGATTACTAACATATCGAGGGCTTCCGCCATTAACGAGTTAGTTCTTTTAGGACAACGCTATATGAAAGCCTAAAACTTAGACGCGAGAGAAGAAATTTCCTTCAACATTTCTTGTCGTTGTGTTGACAACAAAAGAAAGAAAAGATCCATTCGAAGCGTCCAGGCCATCTGTCGAACATTTGGCGGTCTTTCTCTCTTTCAAACGATGCACCCTATTCGAAACTTTTACTTTTATGTATAAATATATTCGGAAAGCGGATACACACGTTTAAACCAAAGCCGCACGTTTGCTCAGTAATGCCTCTTTCAAACGTACAGCCCTTTCCCATCCCTTCGGCTGCAGGCCGAGATGACCATTCGCGATAGCAGTGTTCCGGGCTAAGTTGACCCAAGCCGTCCGCTGCGACGGAAATCGTCCTCGAAAGGTCAAGTTTCCTTTTCCAAAATTCGGAAGAAAAAAAGAACGAAAAAAAAGAAAACAGGCGGGGAGCACACAAAAATATATACGCATACGAGGAAGACCATGCAAAGACGGTATCGAGTTTCATCGCGGTTTTAAAACGTTTCTTGTTATTCCTCTTCTTTTTATTCTTATTTGGAAAGTCTAAAAGTTTCTTTTTGTTTTCCTTTGAAGCGGAAAGAAATCCTTATCCGGGCATCACAACATGGCCGAGCCCGTTTTGGGAGTCGCGGTCAGCGAATAGCTTTCTCGGTGTAGTGCCTCCATTCGCAAACAATCCGCTACATCAGGACCGTTTTCCAGGCTGATCACAGTGCACTGAGCCGCCACGGTCATTCCGTTCTCTTATCTTTGTGTTTTGTAGCGTAGGTTTCGTTGCACTGCCTCGTGGTTGTGGCATTCTTAAGCTGGGGATCGCAATGAGCATTCGCTTCATTCAGATGCTCTCTTCTAATAAGATAGTACGCGTTCTGTACTATCGTTGTGGTTGACTTTTTTTCTTTGGCTTAAGGTCAGACCTTAGGTTAACCTTAGCTTAGCCTTGAATGGCCTCTCTGTCATTCTTTTTTTCACGAAAAGAAGCAGGAAACGAAGAAAATCGCGAAGCGTGACTAAGCTAGGGGTCTGGTTTCGTAACAGAGTGAAAAAGATCAAACAAAAGCGACGGAAAGCACGAGGCAATAGAGAGAAAAATAATGAATCGCTCATTGTTGATTTTACTTTTGCCGAGGAAGATAGTTATAGTACGAGTGTGGGGCGGGTCGCACCAATTAATGGGTATTAGTGCGAGTGCCTTAAAAAAACAAAATCGGGCCAGATTTTTTTTTCGATACTACGTTTTATCTTAAAACTTGTCTCAAGTTAAAACTGAAAATCATTTTTTAAACGTGTAGGAGAATGGAAATTATCTGTACCATTTGACAATCCATTATTTGTCTCGGTAGTAATTTGTTCAGCGAGAAATATATGAGAAACAATATGTACAAGAACACGGCGTTTGCACTTCATGATTTGAAAGCGTCCCTCCGTTTCTTGTAGAAACAGTAATGCTATTTATTATTTAGTTGCAAGCCAATGAGCCATGTAAAATGTATGCGCTTTAAAAAATAGTTTGCGAAAACGTGTAAAAAAGAAACATTTACAGAGGGTGACACAGTTAAGATCATCCACATCAAAAAAAATCTTTTGTAAAATCTTCTACGAACGCTCACCTATTCGGAAGAGATAAATAGGGAAAAATATAAGGACATTTAATGCAAGCTATATCTGGCATTAGAATACAAGCTATATCTGGCATTAGCATTCTAGAGCATTGTGGCTCTAGAAATTGAGAAGGACGGAACCCTTGAAGGGAGAAGAGAACGAAAGAGAGGAAGTGGAAAGAGAGAGAGAGAGAAAGAAAGAGAGAGAGAGAGGTGTTTCTTTCTGCGTAATCTTCGGAGTTGGATTGTCTCGCCAAGCTGGCCAAGCCGCGGCGAGTGACGCTCGACTGGGCACCGGCAGCTGAGACATCTCCGGGGGCCACCCTCGGTTCACAGAGACCGCGTCGCCGCCTCGTACGAGTGGCGCCCCTCTCCTCTTTCGTCGTGCAGAAAACCCGCATTCACCTTTTGGCGCTCGTACAGTCGATTATCGGTATCGCACTACTTCCGGAGTGCGAGCCTGCAGGCATCCCTCGTTGACGAGTCAGTGTCGAGGCACCGTGGGCAGACGGAGACAATCGACGCTTTGCACGCGCGCCGTATTACAGCCGCCATTGCTTCGTTTTACTGAGATGTCGAGCCACAAGGCCTTAGCACCGCTTGGTCGCAGACATATTAGTCTTCACGGTCGATCGATGACGTAAAATGTTTCCCCGAAAGTTCACCGACATGTCGTGTATTTGACGCGCCTTCGAGCGGTGTTCGTTTTTTGTCCAAGAGGACTAAGACTTCGAGTCAAATATGAAACGGGCCGCCCCTAACGAGAGGGTCACGTACTCCGGTCCGGTTATTATACACGACGTAAGGCTGCAACTGCCTGCCCCCGATCAACCGTTTTTATAGAAGTGAGCCCACGTTCTCCCCTCCCCAGCGCAGCGTGGAAATGACAGTGACCGCAACCTTTCAATCGCTACTCTTTCGAGCGTGGCAAGCCGGTCCCCGACGGCGAAAACGCGGTGGGTATTCTACTATGGATACCTGCACGCTTCGTTTCCGCGAGCACCGCCAGCCTCCGCTCGAGTCGTTCCTCAGACCAGAGGCGGAAGCCTCATGCCGTCCGAGCCAACCGGGTAGCCCTAACTGGTAACGTGAGGTCACGTGACGTGAAATCTCGTGAAGTCGCGTGACGCTCGAGAGACACGGGATCGGTGCAAGTATATAGTTTCGTAGCTTTTCGTAGGAGAGAAGGATGGGGTCGGTAAAATGTCGCTTTGAGCTGGAAGAAACTTTCGCGATTCGGATTGTGAGAAGTTTGGGTGAACATGTCCGAGGCTCGCTTAATGAGCGTCGTGTCGGACAACCGTCCGTTTAACACGGATCGTACATCGGACAACATACACGGTCTTCGTTGCAGATACGATGTCAGAAACATCTACCGACACGCATCAAGCAAGTTCGATGCGCATGTTGGCTTCATAGATGTGTGCACTTCAAACATGTTGCAAACTGTCTCTTGTGGGATGCATTAGCGGCTGTAGTGGGGCGTCGAATATCACCCGAATCGTACAGCCGCAGGACATTCGTGGCAGCGAACGCGACTTCTTGGGGTGGGCGATCTTTCGGTTGCTTGTCTTTGTTTGTTTGTTGTTGTTGTTGCTTACTTGCAAGGAACCAGATTTCTCGGGGTAGGCGATGTTTCGGTTTCTTGTTTTTGTGTTATTTGTTGTTTTCGCTTTTTGTTTCCCAAGAACAGGAAAAAAGTTGAACAGAACACGGCGCTAATCGTAACTGTGTTCGACCGGCAGAGATGGCGGGGTCAGTCTTCCGACAGCTAACCAGGAGGAAATGAACTAAAAGAATGCGAACCGAAAATGCAGGCGTGCGGTACGTGCGAGGAAACCAGTCTCCCATGGCGGCTTGCGCGCGAGCCATCGCGTCGAGACAATGACCACCGCAAACGACGTCCGCGCGGCCATCAGCTTGTTTCTTGTTGCTGTTCTTTGTTTATTTAGTTAGCTTCTTTTATTTTCGTTTCGTTTCGCTGGCCCCCAAACACCATCACACTTGGAACCAATCGGAAGCACTCGTGAAGTACGTTCCAGCGTATTTTGAGAGGTGCTGGTTGTATAGCAGCCGTGTGTTCGGAAGCGACATGACGGTATTTGTCTTCAAACACTAAGTGCTTGGCGGCACCACTAAGGTGTGAGTCATTGTCTCTATTTTATTTTGTAATTTGTTGTGAATAAAAGAAGAAAGTACACTTAGGCTATTGCTGCCCGTTAAATATCTATACACCCATAAGTTAAATATAGCCAGTTTCGTTCATGCCATGCGTTGTGTAAAGTTGTTCCTTCAATGTTTGGATGGAAGTGAAAACAACAAATGCCAACCACTAGACAATGAGAGACCAAGATAGAGAAAGAGAAGGAGAGGGATGTTAATGATGATTAAGAGTAAGGATTTAGTACGCAGAAATAACGCGAACCGGGGGAGGGGGGGGGGGGGTGGACAGCGAGAATAAATAAAGAGTGGGTAAAAACGATATGGCTAAAACTGCTTTTTGCGTCTAAAGCCTGCAGCCTTCGCTATAA